CCGAAACCCTTTTAGAAGATATCGGGGTGGGGCGATCAGCACGTTTCAAGGCATCAGTACGCTGGCGATTAACTCTTCAATCCCATTCCCCTTGCCAAGGGACCCCATAGTTCCCCTCGTTGCCCGAATCCACGCATTTTCGCCCGCCGCTCTCGCCGTTTGCTGCAAAGGAAAGGCGTTCTTGGATGCGCTTGCGGGCGTGGCACCCCGCAAGGTACAGGAGGGCCGCTTGGTCGTGTCGAAGGCAAGTTCAGGTATACGAACTCGGAGGTGCGGAGCGCGTGACCGGGCTGGGATCTGTGGTTTTCGGTGATTTTGGCTGGCTTGGTCGCGGTGGTGGTGGTCTGGTTTGACTTGTTCGGTGGCGGTGGGATTCTGGCCGGGGTGGGGTAGGGGGTGGGCTGGACGGCCGAAGCCGCTCTCGACCTCTGACAGGAGGCCAAAAAGATGCGCTTCCTGTCCTGGGGGGTATGGGGTGGGGGTTTTGGGCGAGGCAAGTATTTCGGTAGTTGCAGCAGGGTTTGTGAATGACGATCCCGGCGGTCTGCCAGTAGGTGCTCTTCTGCTGAGGTGCTTGGGCAGCGCTGGCAGAAATTGGCGTCAGGAGCTTGAAAACGCTCCTGGAGCTACGGGCAGGTGTCCCTGGATTGCCCTGGATTGTTGACAGAGGCCAACGGGGAGCGTGCAGCATGGATAAGAACGTGTTGAGGTATCAAAAGCCCTCAGAAACGATCGCTGCGAGACCTTGTTTTGTTTGGGTCCGGCACGGCGCGTGTTCGCGTGGATGACGGTGCGCATTGAGCGTGCGCCATCGCTGGCAACAATGGAAAACATGTTGTGCTGGGTAGGCAGCTGAGATGGTTGTGTGACGATTTGGGACTTCCTGCAGCAGCAGTTGAATGGAGGGCCAACGCCTACTGGCAGTTGGCTGTAAACTGGCCGAAATTTGCGTCAGGGTCCATGAGATTGAAATTGCTGCTCGCTTTCCGCAAATGGCTGCTGATGTTCACACAACCCATGGTGGCACTCTTGGCATTGATGATGTTGTGATGGATGGTGGCATCAGGTCACAGTGTAGAGCAACAGTGCAGACAAGAATCTTGTTGTGAATGCACACACGCCAGGTTGAGCAGAAAAGCAATGCCTTTATGTTGAACCTGAAGTCATTGAGGGGAATTTTGCAACCTTGGCTTGTGGTGAATTTCAAACCAAACTCGGCAATGTTGCCAGCCTCCAATAAGTCACCACATTTTGTATTCAACATTTTCAAGCGTGCTTACTGCATGCTGGTTGTTTTGTTGCTCTTGATTAGAGCCCTTGGACGTTGGAATATTTATTGTGGTCGTCTTATGCTTGTTCAGCTCCGAATAGGTCCGCATCATCATTACCCATCCCTGAACAGTGCAAAGAATGCAAAAAGAGATGCCTGCAACTGAGTTGTGCACCAGCACATCAAGCTTGCGTGCACAACACTGGTGACGAGCCTCAGTTCTTCCTTGCACTGTAGGAGGAGAACACTAGCCTCAAAAACCGAGTCAGGCTGCTGCAACAGAAGGCCAAAGACATAGCGGTGAGATTTATCAATGCATTGGACAGATCTATTGCTGCTGTTGTTTGTTTATTGTTCTCTGGTTGTGAAACACTTGCAGCCTGATACGACTTTTGATCAGAAAAGAGTGCCTGCAATCATTTCCGACGAGGTCTGAGTGTCCTTCTGCCTGAGTTGTGGGCCTAAGTGAAGACACAAGTGTTGTTGGCAAAGACCAGCTTCGAACTGAAACTAGAACAGCAATCTGGTCTATCTGAATCAACTGCCCTGTTCCTGTTTGCATTGTGTGAGGCAGAGGCTAAATGAAACAGAGATAGAGCTGCTGCAGCGGAAGCTGGAGGATGTCCGGGTGTTGCAGAGGAAGGTGGACGATGTTAAGGTGTGCTTTGGTTTGGGAGAACCTGTACATCCTGTACACCCTATTTTGCGCTGTCCAGGTGGGCTCACTGCATGAAAATCTGCAGTTTGCTCTGACGATGATACACTGACTTTACACCAGCAATGCGGATCAATCCATGCACACTGTTGTGGGCTGTTGGGAGTGGAGCATTTGCACCCACTGATAATTACTGCAGCAAAGCAATATGTGTCCTCACACCTCTGAAGATGGGGATGGCATACAAGCATGCTGTCGATTGAAGTAGCCATGTGTGCAGACACACCATGCAGATGCACCTAATCTGTACATACTGAATGTGTATATCTCAAGATGCAAAACTACTGGCTCTTCACGGCAAGGGCAGTTCTTTTAAAGGCTGATTGCATCCCTTTTGTAGGCACTTGTGATGGAAACAGGAGCAACAGATATTGTAATTTGCTGAATTCAACGTTATGTGCACCGGGAGAAAGAGCAGAAACTGCTCATACCCCTTCTGGCGTCAATCTTTCCACCAACACAACACTCGCCCTACGTACATATCCTCACATTGAACCTTTCAAACAAAGGGTCACTGTTTGTGTCTTTCGTGACAATAGGGTCCATCGAAATTGCACAACACCATGACATTACAAAGCGATGTTGGGCACCTGTTGCTGCTGCAGTGGTAAAGCAATCCCAGTGGCCACAGGGCGCCTACAGTGTGAACAAGGGCTCTGTTGCAGCACTATTTATTGTTCCTGACTACTCACCATGGTATATCAATCATGTGCGAAAAGCACCTGATTTATTGTTGTTATTCAGTATCAATATCAGTTGGCAGGTACCCCCAAACAGGGCATTGTGAGACGCTGGAACAAATACTTGGTCATGGATATTGTCATGGTGTGGATTCTTACCTTTGGGTCCAGATGGAGAAGTTTATGAGCATCAGGCCCAAGGAAAGAGCACTCCACAAGCAGCAGCACCAAGAAAAGTTGCCAACATTGAACTTGGGGCTCCATTCCTGGCTTTTTATGTTGGTCTGTTTCACGTATCATCAATTGCCAGTCTTCACAACTGTAGCAGGCAGGGCGGCAATGCCAGTGCAGACAACTTCCTCAATCGCAGCTGCATCTCTTGCCTGTAGACTCGTCTCGCACATTCCCCACAGTGCCATGAGGCCCTGCAGATTGCCAGGCCCCATGCTCCCCCTATCCCAGAATTATCCTCCCCATTCATGTGCGATCTGCACATTTATAACATGCCTGCCTGTGGCTCATACACTTCTGACCAGCCCCTGAGGTAGTATGAACTGCCCCCTTCCCTGCCGATCAGAGTAGACGGAATGCTGCAAGGCATGCCATGAAGTGCCGATCGTGGTGGTGCTCACAGGACCAGTCCTTTTGGTGAACTCTGGCCTCGGGTCTTGGATGCCAAGTGCTGAGGAAATGCCACAGGGGCTTGCCTAAGTATTCAACCCGACAGAGAGTGAAGTGTGTGAGGGGAGGAGACTAGTACTGGGTATGTGCTGTATGTCCAACAGAAACATGTGCTAGCTGTGCGTCTGTTGCATGTCAGCCACGGTTGACAGCGCACACTTTCCTGTGCCAAAGCCATCTGTTTTCTGCACAGTTGACTTGCCCATCTTGTGACTGAAGCACTGGCTTGGTATCTTTCAGAGATTGGGAAACACTGAATTGGAGCTCGTCCAGGGGGAATTGAAGGCGCTCAGGAAGTCCGAGGCTCAGCTGAGGAAGTCTGAGCATGGGCTCCGGCAGGAGAACAGGATGCTGAAATCGAAACTTCAAAAGTGAGGCAATGCTCCTAGCCTGCGAAACTGCAAGTGATTGCAATTGCCATTGGTTTATTCTGACACCAAAGCACATTGTGCTGATGACACATCATACTTGACTCTTGCATGTTGCGCAGTACGTTGCCATCTGCAGAACAGAATTTCATGACTATGTGACTATGCGTTGGTCAGACATGACAGTTGTTGAACCATTGCAAAGCATTCGGACTGCACCTCTTGGGTGACAGGTTTGGCTTACATAGCCAAAATGTCATTGGGTATTCAGCATGAATGATATACCATATGCCCCCAAAGTCTATGCGGCTGCTTCATTGCTTGTACTGTCTCCCACAAGTGCAGGTATTCTTGGCGCTGGTGCTGCTCTCTGTTCTATGTTGTTTCAGCCATGTGCAACTCAAACTGACTTGTGTTGGAGCAGAAAAAGAGATATGCAGAATTGACTTGCAGGCTTGCGCACCACACTTTCGTTGTCATCGTTATGTCACATGCACCACCAGGATAAATTGGAAACTGTCAAGGAAATCCATGCACAATGTGTACTTGTGGTGTACAATCTGTAGATTGCTGACTTGTGTTTGTGCGGACTGCTGACAGAGACTCTCAAGATCATCGCAGCTATCAGGTGAGAATGGTGGCTGATGTGCTCAACTTTGTTAACCAGACATGGAGTTTCCAGCAAGACTTGGAGCTTGAATTGGAATCATGTCTTGGTCAAGTGGTGGTACTTCTCGAATGTTTCCAAAAGCTCATAACCTATATGTGGCCAGCACTATCCTACCGAAACCAAAAGAAAAAGTTGGAGAACTGGACATGGCTGGTGGGCCAAGAAAGAACATGGATTGTAGCTGCAAGGAGGTTTGCAACTGTTGCTCAAAGTCTCGCTGATGTTGGCCTGGCTCCATGGGCTAGCACAGTGCGTGCGTCACTGTTGGCCTCCAAGATCCTGGGCATCAGGGCTGGGACAAGCCGCTGAAACAAAGCCTTTCTTAGCTTACTGTTGAATAGTTACTACCTCGATCACAGAAGCCTTCTGTGGTCTCCAAGCCTTGCTCCATCTTTGCAAGATGGTACAAATGGTCGTTCTGTCTCCAGAATCGGGATTCTTGGTCAATTTCTGGTCGATGTGGATCCTGACTACATAAGCCAGCACCATGCTGCACGACATTCACAGGTTCATCAAAACTGCCGCTGTTCACTGCAACCTAGGCCCTGGTTTCCCCGCATTGTTGCATTCACACCATATGCCGGTGTGGTCCAACATGTGCCCATGTTTCATTTGAGCACCTTGTTGTCCACGACAAGGGGTCCCTTTCAAGAATATTAGCAGCATAATGTTCATAGTCTCTGTTGACCGTTTATTTGACAGTGGCGAAAGTGGCCCCAAGATTTTAATTTTCCAACGATTGTCTGGTTTGGCCTCAACCAAGGCTGTGGTATCAGTTGGCATCAGTATGCACGGCCTTTTGTCGTTTGGTCATTTGCCAGGTCCTTGCTCCTACTCTAATCGAGATGTCTCTTGCACTTTGGCCACACCCCCTTTGCAGTTCTTGTCCACTTCCCAAATCCTTTTTGAAGTCAGAGCCTTTTCTTGAGGATTCCATTTGGAAATCGAGCTGCATCTTTAGTGCATACCAATCCAACGAGGCACGCCTCTCTTCCAGCGACAGCTCAACTCTATATGGCTCTGCTAAAGGGCACAACAAGCTCGCCATGCCCTGCTAAACGCACTGACAAAGGACAACACCTTGTTTGTCCCTCTCAGCGCATCGCAAGAGCGGTGTGCCATTTGTTACGTTGTAGTGCTCTGTGGATAGTTCTTGCTATGTGGTGTTTTGGCCAAACTTTCTGACTTGGATATTTTGACATCTGTTTGCACAACTTGGAGATCAGACAAGACGTAGTCTCAGTTATAGGTAGTATCAGTTAGTGTCAGTTATATATTTACCAAGTGCTATCAAATTTCTGACCATTTCGACCTGGCTGGAAAAGCTCCAAGCGCACACTCGCAACAGTAGTGCAGTGCGATTTGTGCCATCGTGTTGCCTCAACCAGTTTACGCCAAAGAGGGTCTGCCAGTTTTCCCTTAAAGGGCAAAGTGTGTTAAAGGGGGCGACAGGGTGATTGAATTGTGTCCAAAAATGTTTACAAGCAGCTTGAAGATTGCCTCCCCTTCAGAAAGAAAGCGCATCTTGACATGATCACACACACGCACACACAAAGCAAGAATTGGCCATCTCAAAGCACGCACAGCCTCTCATTATTAAGTGATGGTGCTGTCACCATTGCAGAGGAGTGTGAATGACGCCTTTGGCAAAGCGGTGGAGGATTCCCTGAAGAAGAAAATGGATGAGCAGATGCTTCCATTCATACAAGCCTATGAGCACCTGAAAAGAGAGAATGGGATGTTGAGGGCGTCTAATGAGAGGTAATTGCTCCCATGTTGTCTTTGCCCTCGTCTTGTTGTACCAGCTGTCTGAATCCACTTACTGCAGCACTGAAGTTGCGCTGTGTGACGCCTCCTTCGGTGTCATTAGTGGAAAAAGTAAATGCGGTGCTCCTATTCTGCGAAATCACGCTCTGTGGTTGTCCACAAACGTTGACCAGTTTGTGATTTTAGTTCCTCGCCACTGCTGAAGAGACAAAGAAAATAAACTGTTGGCTGGCGCTGCCACCAACCGCGTACATTTGCTGGTCTGGTTTCATTTTCGTACTCCAAAATATGCATGACCATTATTCAATACTGTACAAAAGAAGTGGTGGTTCCCTTCAGTATGGTTGCTGATGCATGATGGCTGTGCTGGCAGGTGGTTATGTGCAACGTTAGTCACCTCACTAAGCATGAAATATGCAGTGTATGTATGGTCATAACAAATCAAGTCTGGATGCCTTCATCATGGCATTCACCAAGAACCGATGTCAGGCCAATATCTAGCACTGCTGGTCCAGAACAACCCCAATATCAGGGGTGCTGGCAGCCCTTAGTATTTGTTTGTAGGTATGTTTGAGAGGATACACGAGGGGTTGTACAAGTATGTATTTACACATTCAGTGACGAGCGTTGCCTGCAGCATAGTCCCCATGATGACCAGGTGAAAAAGCCTGACAATGCCCTTTATAGGAATTCCTCTGATTTTTGCACATCATTGAGCTGCACTGGGTGGAGAAGGGCAGAATCGATACCAGGCTGGCAGGACTTGAGAACAGACTAGCAGTTGTGGTTCAACAGAATTGTCACCACACCTGATTTCGAGGTGTGCTGCCATCATACCAGTGGGTTTTAAGTCCTTCCCTATGTTTGGCCTGGATTGACGTGTGTGGGGTGTTCAGGTACAAAGAAATACTTCGGAAACAACCTGGCAGATGGACTGATGAGGTGAGCGCAGACGTGCTTGGAAAGACGGATGCCGGCAATTCCATGAAGACGGCTGAGCAACAACTAGTGTTTCACACAAACGCAGCCTCCCAATGCATTTTTTCGTTCGCTTCCAGAGCTAGCGTTAACGTGTTTTTATTGTTTCCTGAGTTGGAAGATGCGCGGTCACACACAACTGAGTATGTTGCTGCTGTGAACATCGTCCCAGGTGGAGGTGAAGCAGGAGCGTCTGGAAAATGTCGAGAATGACAGCTATATTAACCTACCTGCTTATTTGCATGGAGGGAAGAATCCTGGCCAGGTGATGTATATATTCCCACCCATGGCTTGCAGCGACCCAGTACACCTGTGGATCAACATCGGATGCTGGCCTGCATGAAGGCAATATAGTGTCCTTGCAGCTTGTGGCAGAGGTATAGTTGTTATTGTTTTCATGATTGCATGGCGTTCACTAAGCCCGGCAGAGTTGGGATTGTTAAGTGTGCGCATCACGGTTGGCCTTGTTTGTGGACTGCTGAATATTTGTGTGCTGCCCACTCGCTTTGAGTGCGAGTCCTCTTTGGTGCCCCTTTCATGTGAGAGTGATGCCAGCATGGTGCATTGCTGACAAAAGCAGCAACAAAACTTCTTGGCACTGCATTCACTGTGGAAACCCCTCAGTGTGCATGTCAGGATGCTGTTATTTTCACCGCCTCTCCCAAGAGAAGGAGCATTGCATGTGTTCAGTTGTCCAATTTGATATTGTTGGCAGAGGTTGGGAATTGTGTTGTTGAATGCAATCCCCACACCTCAAGGGAAAGCAGGAGAAAAGCGCATTTGTAAGGAGGCATCTCTTCAGCACATCTCGTAACCTTTTTTCTTCAGTGGTGTGTTTGGAATGGGTTTCAGTTGCCCTGTTGACAGGCAATGTGAGGTCTTGTAGACTGCCTCCAAGCTGAACTTTCTGATCACGTGATTAGCACAGACACATGTAGCATGCATGCAGTGTGTCGTTTGCGCGTTGCTAAAGATTGTACATTCAGTCATCCAAGGAAGAATTTGAGAAATACACTGTCATCTTGACACTCTCCTGCGTTGCTAATTACACTGTTCTGTTGTGGCTGTGATTTGGCTGTTTTCCTCCGTGATGTTGTTTTGGATCATGTGGAGTGGCTGGCCATAGATTTAAAGAGATTTGTGCTTGGTGGCGTGATGTGCACTCATTGCTAAATTTGGTACAGGGGTTGTTTGTCCTGTGCAACAATGTCATCTCTTAGAATTCTAAAAGATCAGTGCTTTGTGGGCCAAGTGTCCCTGAGGGGAACAAGCAGCCATTTCTGCTCCGTGCACATATCAAGTCCTCCCTTGATGCTTTATTTTCGTTCTTGTTCTTGTGGGGAATGCCATGCAGTGGGATACTATCTGGACAACGTTAATGAGTGGCAAGATGTGATTGTGCTTCTGCGATGTTGTCGGTGCTCAATGCTGGTTTGGGCCGTTGTTGTTTCTTGATCTCATAATATTGCATCAATTAGAGAGTCCGGGTGCTGCTTGCCATATTTTAGTCCTCGCACTAAATCAGTATATGAGCAAAACATTGGCTTGAGCGGTTGTCAATGGGAACCAACCATGGTGTCCATTGGCCGTCCCACCATCGTCATTGTGATGATACAGCAGTTCTAGGTTCTTTGACAGATCAATCGGCATCTGAGTTGTGCTCACTCACGGTAGTGGCGGTGCTCCATCAGGCAAATGGGCCGGAGTTCGAGGTGAACGAAGCCATGGCAAACGTGAACCAACAACCCGGGAGCGCCAAGGCCCCTGGGACACGGCGGTCCAAGCGAGCCAAGCGGTCCCCCCCACCCAGCGCCAGCGGCTCTCTGCCCAACGGAAACTCCTTCCCAGCTGCCGTCGCGCCACAAAATCCACAAATCAAATCCGAAAACGGCGTTGCCACCGGCCCTGTGGAGCCGCAGCCGTCGGTCCAGGGGGGAGTGGGATCGGATGGTGCAGCGAGGCAGGTGCGTGCAAGTCTTGAAAAGCTTCTGTGAGGGCGCAGTTGATTGTGCTCGCTCGAGAGGGGTTGGAGTTGGTGCTGGGGCAGTTGTGTGCTCGTTTTCTTATCTTCTCATTGGGATACACTGAATGTGGCATTAAATCTTTAGGGGCACATTGATGTCCGTCGCATCGGTGCATGCGTTCTCTGGGCGCAGTGAGCAGGCAGCCAGAGGCAGTCAGTTGCTGCCAAGCGAAGGCCAGACGTGCATGCCATGTCGCTTCAGTCACACCCTGCGGGCTTCCTCCTTCAAGGACAGCTTTTTGCGATAGTAGCTTTTCTCTGATATTTCACATCGTTGACGAACCCTCCAAGCAGCACGACTTGGTGCACACGGTGTACCAAAGCATTAATAAGTCAAAGTACTCCTGTGCCAATCGTCATCAAAATCCATTGATTGCATTTGTCATACAATTACAAAACACAGCCCGTGCACCTGATAGGCGATGATGGTCATGAAAAACCAAGCAGAGTGTTTGTTCGGAATTGACTATTCACGGCCCCATGTCCACCCAATCCTGTGCCAACGTACTGTACTATGCCAACGTACTGACGCTGTATGTTGTGCAGCGAGCGCGCCGCACCTTTTCGTCGCGTAGCGGCAATGGCGCCGTCCAAAACGTGACAGAGCACACACTTGCACCCACAACGCGATCCTGGGCGCGAGTCCCCATGCACCTCTTTCCTTTTCCTAATTTGCATGCTTTGATTCCCAGATACATCTCACGTGCATTATCCAGAACATTGACTCAGTGGCCTCCAGCCGGCGGGCAGATCGACAAACCTCATGGGCAGCGCCTCGCCTTAACATACTGGCGAGGACACTTCTTTCCATGTACTATCACCGACAAATGCTTCTTGGAAATAGGAACTGCTGAGTTTCTGGCCATTGTTTGCATTGTGCATTAGATTCCAGTCATGGAATCATGGGTGCTGCATAGTTTGGGCAAAATAGGAAGCTGCCGGCTAGCTCCTTGCCCTGTCATATAAGAAATGATAGGAACGTAGGAATGAAGATAATATATACTTGACAGCAATGTAAGAATGTAGGATTGAGGACGATGTATACTTGGAAAATACTTGATAATAATCGTGACTATCAAATCAACAAACGAAATCCGCTTGCATGCCGCTGAGTGACGTCCGTGTTGCACGTGCAGGTGTTGACAGGCGCGTGGAGCTACGCGGAGGCGCAGCAGGCCGCAGGCTTCGGAGCCACCGCGGCGCCCCCCGCGGACATCCCGGCCTGGGGCGCCGGCAGCGCTGCAGCGCCGGACTCGCCCGTCCAATGGGGCAGCAGGAGCGGGTCGTCCCCGAGGGGCCGAGGGGAAGGGGGGACGCCGGCCTTTGAGTGGGGACCCGGCAGCGTGGCGTCGCCAGAGATAGATTGGTCCCAGGCCGGCAGGGCTTCCCTGCAGACCGACGAGTGAGCCCGGGGGCCCTATCGCGCGTGGTTCGCATCTTCAATTACAAATTGTGCATTGATGCGTTACTATGGGTTTGGGACGTTTGGCGGCGCACAACGGCTCCCTTGCGCTTCGCAGGCGTCTGGGCGGTCCACGGCGCGTGGCGCGCTCCTCACGTGGGAATTAGGAATCTGAGATTAGGAATCGTCTTCCCCCGTGTTGTGCAATGGCTGACTGGTTGTATCGCGCATGGTGTGTGGACGCCATGTCCCCGTTAGGGGGCCCGACCTGAGGTTGCTGGGCTACCCACTTCCGGGGTCTAGTACCTTCAGGAGCTCGTTCCCTGGCATGGGCATGGTAGGCGATGCAATGCAATGTTTGGTGACTCGTTTTGGGATAGAGGTAGCGGCGCTTCACGGGATTGACGGCGGCAGCAGTGGCACGCCATGCAGTGCACAAAGGTGCCCCACACCCAATAATGAACCGGGGATCTGACTTGTAGAGTTGTAAGTTGACGTGGGGCGTGCACACGCAGCGAGGTTTTTGCAACGGCCTTGTAACATGTAACAGCGGAGGATGCTGAAGTGGCAATTTTCGCGCAGGCTGCGTGCCGCATTGAGACGCGGGCAGTCCAGGGAGCTGTCACCTGCTTTCTTCTGCTTCAAACGGCTGTATCAAGTTTGAGAGCGCAGACTTATCAAATACTGATATAAGAAGTTTACTGGCATTACTTACTGATAAATCGAATTCGAGAGCGCAGGGTGCACCCTCCATCGCAGTCTGACAGATGCAAGCATGGCAGGGATGCCACCTCTGATCACCGCCTCCACCAGGATGACGCCAGATACGCCGCGAGGAAAGGCACCGCTCCGTCTTTGGAAGGCAAATTTAAAACAAAGAATTGTAGCAAGGAAAGTCCATTCGCTCCACACGCAGTTCTTCGCCTCAGTCATCAAACTCGCTTTCCACAGCCGCCCACACCCAATCTAAAATCTCCTGCCATTGCACTAACCCCGCGTTTCTCCTCTCGTGCCCACTTGCCCAAAATGGCGTCAGGGGCCCCGCATCTTCCGCAACCCCCCCCCGCTCCCCTCCTAACAACGGGCGGGCGTCCCACTAAGCCGGTCCATGCAAGCCCGCAGCGCCAGGATAAAAACGAACATATAACCTAGCACCACAACTGGGGACAAAAATGCTGATTCCAATCATGCAACTGCTCATTTTCACGGTGCGCCAGACCAACACCGTAGTACTAGCTCTGTGCAAGTACTATAAAGTACTGAGCCTTGTACCACAGTCTCCCAAAGAAAGTGTATTCCCATGCACGCAATGCGCTGCACTCCCAACAGGACACAACAGGACGCAATGCTGTTGCGGACTGATGGTCCCAATCCGAAGGAAGTGGCGCAGCAAGTCACCGCCGACGGCGTGCACTGGGACAGCAGATGGCAAGGCAGTCCACCTTGTTTGCCAACCATACAGCGGTTCCGGGACAGCGCCCTAGAACCTCGTGCTCCTGAAAGGGGCCCTCGTCCGCGAGCGCATGTCCAAATCGTACTGCTGGCGCTTGTGCGGGTCGGACAGCATCGCGTTGGCCTCGGCGACGAGCTTGAACAGGACGTCCGAGCCTGGCACGTGGGCGGCCTTATCGGGGTGGTACTTGAGGGCCAGCTGCCTGTAGGAAGTCTTTATCTCCAGGGCCGGCGCGGAGGGCGACACGCCCAGAACCCTGACCGCACAAGCGATGGGCTGAGGCAATCCTGTGACTGCTGCAAAAGTCGTTCTGTGCAGTTCGATGGCGTCGCCCAAAGTGGCTCGGCGCTGTCCTTGGACAACCGCGATTGCGTTTCGACTTTTTTTTTGGGGGGGGGGGGTCCCATAGTAATAACAGTGGCCATGTTTTCTTTTATTTCGGTCCTGTCGAATGTTCGATCTCAAAGATTGAGACCAAATGTTGGGTTGAGGGAAAACTATCATGAACATACTGTGTTCAGCACAAGGCATGCACTGCGTTCAACATATACGTATACTGTGTTCAGCACATTATGATAAACTTTCCCAGAAGCTGTCGCGAAAACAAAATTAAGAACTGGCTAAAGTTCGACAACGCACTATGCTTCAGTTCATGGAGAGCTCAGAGGTTGCATTGAACAACTCCACGCTTTGCGCCAAGCCAAATCAAGAAGTGGAGACATCGCAAGGCGCATGGGTCGCAGCAGTAGCCTCCATTTCTGCCCTCGTGGCTCTTTCAAAGCCTCTCTTGGCACTTACCATACTGTTGCCCAGTTTTGCTAAGGCTGAGCGGCTACATCATATCTTAACACAAGTTGAAATCCACTAGCCCAACCCCGTCACATGATATGCTCCCACGCATGCAAAACAACCTACAAGTAAGGCATCCAAAACCCGTGGCAACACAGCTGGTTAGGTACATGCTGCTTAAGAGGGCAAAGAACAAAACATTGAAATAGAAAGGAAAGGATGCCCGCGATGTGCGAGAATGTGTCAGAAGCATGCAGCAGCAAACTACTGGGGTCCGACCACACGCATTAATGCACCGTTCTATGCGATGCGTGGATGGCGTTCAATTTTCTGCAGCTCCACACGCAATGCAAGGGCCAACTGCTCTGCACAGTACGTGTAGCCTCCCCCCGGAGTGTCGAACGTCCAAAAACACCCTTTCAGAACAAATGGCAAAACCAAGTACAGTAAAGTACTGCGCCCTGCACCACGCTTCCAAGAACGGGCTTCAAAGCGCTTGCTCGACGGCACAAGGCCCACATATCTTGTGATAGGACAGGGGGCCACTTGGACGCTGGAATGTGATATATTTGGGGGGGAAACAAAAAATGTACCTGTAGGCGTCAATGGCTTGGCCCGAGTTGGCCTTCCTGAGCACGTCTGTTAGCTGCGTGCGGGCCTCCACCTGCTGACCCCCACCACGGGCAAGCACCGTTTTCAGGTCTTCCACCGCTGACGAGAAATCGCCCAAGGCAGCAAAGACGTCTGCGCGACGCTGAAAAGCCCGGGAATAGGAGCCGTCCATCGCCACAGCCACAAAGCAATCTGCCAGCGCTTCCAGGAACCTGCATAAAACATGAACGGAGCTGACCTTCCTTGCATTTCGTGCTTTTTCGTCTTTCACTCGATTTCTCGTGCGTTTGCTTTTGCTTGTATTGTGTTCTGGCTTTATGGCACAAAGCGACACAAAAGTTGAGCAAAGGAAAGCAGCGGACCGATTCGTTGCTAGTGCAACACAACCAAATGGTGGTGACCACCGATCACACATGTCCAACATCACTGACACTATCAACGGCGCTGTGATTTATCTGGCGTTTCCAACAGCAAGAGATGCTACGCGGGAGCTAGCTGCGTCACCGCATCACTGCTTGCTCATGTGCGCAACCATGCCATGTGGCAGTTCTGGTCCCAGAAATAACCAACACAAAACAATAGAAAACAACAATGGATAGTGACATAATAACAGAAATATCTACTAATATCATGAATGCCACAGCAAGCAGAAACAACATGTGAGGCCAATGTGCCATTGAACAAGTATTCCAACAACACCAAACACAGCAGCGCACATGCACATCACTTCGTTCTCCTGATGGCAGCACCAGAACCTTGAATATCTGGCGCCGCGCACCTGTTCAAGTTTAGGAGCGCAGCTGCCCTGTTGCAGTGCAGGACTGCCACGAGGCTATGGTCCTCAAGGCCCAGTTGGAGCCCTTGGCTGTATTCGTCCATGGCCTCCTGGTATCTCTCACATTTAAACATCTGGTTTCCCCTCTGGCCAAACACAGCAGCCCACGAAAATCAGCACTGCGTGCCTGAAACTGTCAGTTGCCCCCCCCGCTTCTCCCAGCAACACCCTCAGAACATGCTTGTGGAAGGAACAGCTACATGAAAATCATCCTCTGAGCGTTCTGCTCAAGGAAAAAAAGAACAAAATCATCCACCACAATTCTGCAGATGCAGCAGCCCTTGCCTCCGAGGTCTTCCTTCCCAGCTATAAAGACTCATACTTCCTCCGTCCCAGATTACTTGTCGTCTATTTAAAAGGCTAAATTTATTATAAGGACAACCCCAGAATTTCAAAACAACGTCAAAATCGAAAAGACTGCATCTCAAAACCCTTGACGATCAATTTTAAAGAAGGAGAAGTGAGACATGATCCTCTTGAGCGCAAGGAGAATGTAAATTTTGGTCACTTTCGACACCAAATATTGAGACTTATTATGTAAAAAGACCCTTGATACAAAATACTGCCAAATACTCAATACTTAATGGATTGACTTGAAATTTTTATGGTGTACTCCCAAATCAAAAGGACAACCGTAGGTGAAATTTTGTTACAAACAGGTGCCAGAATCATGGATAAATAATGCCCCAAAGTCATAGACGACAATTAATCTGGGACGGAGGAAGTAAGAAAGAATTGAAGGGATGAATGACTGGATGCATCCCTAAACACGAAATGAAAAAGGCACCGCGGCCATGGCATGTGCCTCTCCTGAGCTCAGGTGGTCAAGGGGCTCCAGTGTAGCAGCACTTCACAGGAAACCCACAATGCCTGTCAACAGAAGTCCTCAACCCAACAAACACCACCAATAAACGAGCGCAACCAAAAAAAGAAGGCAAGAGAACCCTTGGTTCACAGGGGCTACACCTGCTCCCTCATCTGGCCCCCACCTTCTTCATTTCCTCTGCTGCCTGGTGCAAATCGTGGCACTCTTGCTGCTTGGCAGTCTCATCGTAGTCGTGCCGCAGGCGCACATTCTCCTCCTGCAGCCGCTCATTTTCGACCTGCATGTCCTGCAGCGTGCGCAGTGACTTGGCTGTCTCACTGGCCCATGCGGTGTCAGACGGGGACCGGTGGCATGGCAGGCACCCGGGCACATCTTCTTCGGAGGACAGCTCACCCACAGACATGAACTCTGGGGGGAGCCAAGCATCAGAGGATGTCAATCCCAAGGCCAATGCCTGACATCGTTTGACTGGAACTTCTAAAAGTTGTGGACAATGGAAAAGCATGGGGCAACAGAATGGGAATGGCATATGACATCTACAAAATGAAGTTAAAAAGCTATTTTGGAGTGCCCTCTCTGCAGAGTTTTGGTAATTATGAGCATCCAACAGGTGTCACATCACTTCCCAGCCATGATTGCAGTGGTAATGATAAACAAACCTGCCAATCAAATGGTGAGTGGTGCATGACGAACATCGTCAATACACATGCCATTTGCTTCACAAGCGAAGTGCATGCACTGCCAAACAACAGTCCAGGCACTGCAGCGAGCTCAACACCTGAATAATACCTGCACTTTTGCAAAGGGTCTACAGGGTTTGATGGGGACAATCTGTGGCAAAGGGAAACCGCTGCATCAATTCTTGGATGCCACAACTGCCATGTTCTTGGGCGAGGCAAATCCATTGGCCGCTGAGAAGAAACCAAAGTTGATACATTGCACAAAGCTGGCACCTCAGACCTTTTGCTCATTTCACAGTCGAAACAAGTTCAAATGCATTGCCAGGGTCGAAAGCAAATACACCTTGTTGACTGCCATCACTCGGGCATTTTTGAATGCTCACCAGAGAGAGTGTCCGATGTGGTGTCAGACATGGTTGGGGTTACAGGCTTGCAGCCCTGCACCCTGCTAAGCTGCTCCTGCGTGTGCTTCAGTTCTGCCTCAAGTGCCTCCAACTGCTCAGCCCACATCCTGCGCTCTTCACCAGCAGTGTCCTGCGGGGGGCACCAGTACTAGGTATTCAGCACCAGTGTGATCGCACAGGGCATTCATGGGCAATCATACATCCTGTCTGAGCATCGTATCTGTTGCCCACCATCGATGGGGAGTGGTTTGGTGCATGCGTGGCTGGAGTTTGCCCTTCCTGCTATCAAACATCTCAAATTCAGGGAATTTTGAGCAATACAAATGTTTCAGCTAATCCAGCAGTATTCCACAACTTACTCACAGTTTTGTCATTTGCAATTGTCCACAAGCCACAAACTACTTGTCCAGCAGCCAGCACCACAGAAATGCACAGCAGCATTCCCCTGCTAACTGGATGTAGGCTTGCTGAATGAGCTTGTGGAATGCAGCTGCGATGCTGTGGGGATCAGGTGTCGCATCCCCTACCAGTGAAATCTGAGAGAACATGGATCGTACGGCCAATTCCAACTTGCAAGGGACGTCATATGTGCACTCCTGTCAGGCAAATGCAAGCCACCTGGGGAAGGGAACTTGGCAACATAAACCAAGCAAAAGGACGCAAACCCCTTGTGCATTCAAGCCAGTCCAATGCCCTTCTGAATCCGCCCCAGTTCGCGCTTCTTTCCAACAAAGAGATCCAATCATCCACTCTTCCTACACTGGCATAACCACCCTGATTTCTCTCGCCTAAAGCCTCTGCAGCAGTATTCTACAGTTTGATCTCGTTGAGTGCTGCTGTTACTCTCTCTTGTGTTCCATCTCATGTTGTATCTCCCACACACCCGTTTGTTGTCCTCCCACACACTTGTTTATGTTTTCGTTGCTTTATTGGCATTTCATTTTGGTCTATCATATGTAATATCATTCTTGCTTGTGTGTTTCCTTTCCAACAGTCGTGGTCCCAGCCAATCAGCCAGTTGACATGCGTTTGTCCGCCCACTGCTTTTGCTGGCTGCCATGTTGATGTGGGGCTGGGGTGTTCCCTTGACAAGCTTTGTGAGGCTCCTGTGGACAACTAGAAGTGCTGATGCGGTCCGACCACTGGAGTCCAACACAGACAAGGCCATCACCAATGTTGTCTAACAAGTCACCAGTACAAGGACACCTGCAATCACACTCTTGCCGACCTGGCAAGCCAGCTACTATGACCAAACACTGCAGAGACTCCTGTGAATCCCGTCTTTCAGCTTGAAATGGTTGTGCCACTCCAAAGGAGTCAAATGAGCCCACCCTCAACATGGCTTGCAGCATCGCCACTACTGCACTCACCTGCATGCTCCTCAGATCTTGCTTCTTTTCGATGAAGGCAGCCACCAGCCGTGCATTCTCCTGTGCCATCTCTGACAGGGCCTCCCGGGCGGTCCTTCTGGCCTCCAGCGCCTCCTTGTACATGTCGTGCGTGCGCTGCACCTTGGCAGACAGGGCTGCATTCTCTACCCTGGCCCGGCTCAGGTCCCCCCTCAGCTCGCCCTCCCGCTCCTTGAGGTACTCCACCTCCGCCTGGTAGCACTGGCACCGGCGCTGCAGGGCGGCCGCGTCCGGCATGGAGGAGGACCTGCCAGGCCGGGGATGCCAATCTTGGCAATGTGTCGATGGGAGAATGTCGTTGGGATGGAAGGCATGCATTCACAATGACTAAACCAGTCCAAAGCCAATGTTTGCAATGGTGTAGATATGCTGAACCGATAAGAACCTCTTGCAAAACCTACGGCTGGTTGGAACACTGGGCATGAATTGCCTGTTCCTGCAGCATTTGCTGTGGGCAAAAGGATGCCCATTTTCATTCCACAGTTTTGCATCGCATTTGAGAGGCCAGGTGTGCCTATGCCAACAGATGAGATGCAGGCTATGCACCACACCTGCAAAAAAGTGCAAGCGGACACAAATCCCCCAAGAATGAATGCACACAAAAGAACGCGCAATCTCACAGGAGGGGGATGTGCAACCGGTGGTGAGAAGCGTTTGCACTCTTTACGTTACTGCCTTCCACTGATTTTGGTGCAAACATCCACTTAGTCCAGACTTTGTAGGCCACAGGTATCAAGCCAAGGCAATCTGCAGCACACTCTAGCACATGCAGCTGTAGCAACAGTCCACATTTTGGTGCACGTATCGATGCAGGCCAATAAACCAGGCAGCCACTGTGTCCATGAGCTGCTCAAAATCTCAGCAGGGCACCAGGTGCGCTGCATCACACAGCATCCTAGCTGCACTTTGCTAGCAACGTCTGTCAGGCAAAAGGGCACTGATTTGTCACTCTTTTGCACTTGCAGTCAGTACAGAACACCTCCTACCTTTCCAGCTGTGTAACAGATCGTGTGACAACACAACTGCTGTCCTTGTCCTCCCGGAGCCTGGGGCCATCCATGGCCCTCTGTTGCTGTGACTTCGGCGACTGATGGCCAGCCAGTGAGCACACAGGAGGTGGCCACTGGGAGAAGCCCTGTGTGCATCAGCCCAGGTGAGGAAAGCCACAAGGACACGGGCAGCATAAATCGTTTCTCCACATTCAGCAGCAGCTGGTAAAGCATTTCCCTTGCAGTCTTCAACCTGGATATGGGTTGTATTGAAACAAGAAACTTGTCCTTTCTGAATCACTGCCTCGCTTGATCAGACCATCTCCACCAAGTTCCTGCTGCCAACAAAAGGGTATGTAGGCTGCGCAAAGGCCACAACCATGGGGGCAAGCATCGAAGTCAGCCAGTTGCAGCTCCATGTCCTATCCACAAAAGTTGCTCCACATATGCATCACATTGAGAGCACATGTGCCAAGTTCATACCAACAAGATGAGCTGCATTTACAAATCCAGGTTCTGCCATGCTTGTTTGTTGAGTCATTCAACGCTGCATCAACAGGGCAATGCAGGCACAAGCAACACGCTAAAAAATTGTGGACCATTGATATTCCAGAATTGTCCACAGCCAGACCATCAACATCACAATCACAACGCCACTGGGAACCTGGTCAGTGTGCTGATCCTGGATGGCTGTATTAGAAGATGGTTGTTGGCGCAAAGAACCCCCATTTTGCATCAGTTAGCAACAATCCTGAATTCAGATGCACTCCAACATGCCCCACCCCAAAATAACATGATTGCAGGGTGCTTGCCACCAAGCCCTCATCAACCTGAGCAGACACAGCTGACAATCAGCTGGTCTCTGACACCCACTGCTTTTGTTAATTATGTCTAATCGTTTTGTTATTTCATTCCCCACTGGGCATCCAATTATCCTTGCCCAGTCTTTGTGCCAACTTCCCCCAGCATTGTTTGCAGCTAGTGTTACCTCAAAATCAGACTTTACCAGGATCTACTGCTGCTGCCACAAAAACAAACCACCACAAAACCTGTTGTCACTACAACTACTAAAAGACCAGAGGCGCAGTATATCAAAACAAGGGCAGCGACTTCCCACACCCTGAAAACTGAAGTCAGCGACAAAAGCGAAAGGATAAAGAGGTCGATCCCCAGCTGGTTAGCTTCCAGTGTCTCAGCAGTGCGTGGAGGCCTCATAAGGACCTCAACTGGCAAAACAGGTCCCAGTTGGCAACTGGGCCCTATAGTCCCTCTTGTCCTCTGCCCTTCACACCCACTTCAATGTGGTGCCAGCCCTGAGTGCATGCCTCCTTCATAACTGGTGCTCTGCCCTCCTTTCCATATGTGCTACAATAGGAGCCATCAGCTGCAGCATCATCAGTATGGAACAGACTCGCACACAGGATAGCGGTCGCTAGAGGGGCGTCCGTTGTACGGCGTGCTTCCGTTCTGTGGCAGTGGGGCTCTTCAACTTCCACCCATCTCGTCCCAAGGGACCGTCTGCGCCAGGACGCGTCCTGAGCACTGCTCCGTTCTGAGCACTATCGCATGTGTGCAGCCTCCAACTCTGTGCGATGCTGGCCATCACCCACTTGCGACAACACGCCAGGAGCGACGAGCCTTGTGGCAGGCCAGCTCATTCCGTCAGGATGCTTCAATCCATTCTTTCCGACGTCCCACTCCCCCAACCCGCCGCGTTTCCCCAAAACGACTTGTTCGCCCGCCTGGGGCCCAAAGCCACCAAGCGCCCGGCCTCGTGGCCTTGCCACCGTGTTCGCCTCGCGCCAAAACGCGAATATCGCGCGCGGTTTTTCAGCTGCCCGACTCCGCTCACCTCAGCCAGCGGCGATCGACCGCCGCGATCCCCACGTCGCATCGCAGCCGCCTCCGGCGCTGCCTCCCCCCTTCCGGTCGTCATGCGCTCGTCCACGGACGCCCGGCTCGCCAGCCTGGGCCCGTACGCGCTCCCGCGGCAAGTACCCCGGCAGCCCCTGCGCCCACGGTCGGTTCTCACCCGTCAAACGCCACAAGACACCAGCGCCGCGCCCGAAGTGCCAAGACGCTGCAGAGGAAGGCGCATCGGAGCGCTGCCCCGGCTTCAGCGCCTCACCTCGTCCATGCCCTCGAGCCCAAACTTGTTCGCTCGTCCGGAAAAAATTTTCCGCTCTATTGAACGAAGTCTCGCGCGCACGGCTCCTGAGCTCGAACGCAACCTTGTTCAGACTCGCCTCGGGCCCGACACCGTAGGCACCAAGCCAAACCTCGTTTGTTCGTATGATTAAAATCTGGCGCGCTCGCTTCCTCAATTGAAACCCCACCTTGTTCAGGCCCACCCGGAGCCCAACACCAATCCCCCAAAAGCAAATCTTGTCTCCCGCGCAAACAAAATCTCGCGCATTCAAACCCACCCCCTTTCCTTCGCCGCTCTTTGTCAATCTTTTTCTTTTCTGTTTCCATCCCTACCTCTCCCCCAGCACCACCGCGGCCATCCTGTCCTCCAGCCTGCCAGGCCCGTCGTCCCACGTGAACATGGCCGACTGCCGCCGGGCCGCAGCGCCGCGCCTGGTCTCCAGCACGCCCCCAAAGGGCATCCCCCATCCGGCCTCCCCCAGCCGCCCGCTGGTGCTGGGCGTGGAACCACACCCCGGGCCCCAGGGGCCGGAGGGCGATCGGGGCTCGGACGTCCGCGACGGCAGGCCCGCCATCGCGTCCTTGCAGGAGAGCAGTGACGGCGAGGCGCGGGGCCCTGCGGTATGCGGACCACGGCACGGGTCAATACAGGGTTCAAGCCCTACGCGGATGTTGGGAAGGGCGGAGATGGCAAAAAGGGGGGTTGGGGTGAGATCCTCCCTGCGAAGATGGCGCCAGTGCACGTGGTTTCCGTAGTGCGCGGCTTTCAGTTTGGGCTCAGCAGCGGGGCTGGGCCGGGAGCCTTCCTCTCAGCCCCGTCCCGTCCAGTTGCGCACCGCCGTACGATTTGCCTCCGGGCCCCCGCCCCGCCTCTCCGCCGCGAGGCGCCCGATCACGTCCGCGCCCTGCCCTGCCCGAGTCCAACCCTGCGTCCCTTTGGCCCCATCGCAACGCGAGGTCCCAGATGCACCCGACATCCGCGACATCCGCAAAGGCCCGCCTTCCTCCCCCCCAAAAAAATTCCCCATCCACGATCTCTCTCACACACACACACACACACGCCCACACACCCCGCCACGGGCCGCCTCTCCCTCGGGGGATGCAGATCAACTCACTGGCCTCCCGTGTTCCCACGAAGAGCCCCCGCGCCTTCCTCTGCGGGCTCAGCTCATGCCTCGACGCCTCCCGCGCGCTCGCCATCCCTTCGCCAGCTGCTGGGCCCGCCGGCCGTCCGGCCCTTGACCGCCGCCCGCCGAGCTCAACGCCCTCGAAGGACGGCCCCGCGCCACAACGCGGCGCCAGGGGGCCCCACCCCTGCGCTTTCGGGCCCCCCGGGCCCCCCGGGCACCCCCCGGCATGACAGAATTGGGCCCCCGGTGCCAGAAAGGTTGGCGGGCGCCGAAAGGGCGGGGGAAAAGGGTTGGGTGATGGGGGTGACAGTGGCCGCGTGGAGACCATTGGCCGAAAATGGAGATTGCGGTGCCCGAAAAGGTTGGCGATGATCCATGGGCAAGGCGTACGGCGGGAAGGGGTACCGCAAAATGAAGGATGGCGGTTATGCACGCCACTGCGTTGCGTGGGCAAAATAGGAAGTTGACGGCTGCCTCCTTGCATTGTCATGTAAAATGCGTGATGATGATCACAGTGAATGTACTGGCATGAGTCAGATGACGCTCATGATGATGATGATGATGATGACAAGGCAATGAGGTAGCCGTCAGCTTCCTATTTTGCCAGAGCAAAGCCGTGTCCATGATCAGTTCATTGAAATCTAATCCAGCTCTGGCGCAACAATGTGGTGGTGGCGGCGCATCTGCAGGGGGCCCATCAATTTAATTGGTGCCGCCATTTTGTCATCGTCAATGGCCCGGTCATGATTGCATGTTGGTCGCTCGTTGGGCGCCTGGATGACTTCGGTGACACTGTGAGAAGCAGCTACGTTGGGCTGGAGAAAATCCCGCCCGTTTCGGCACTCTGTTGTCACTGTTTGTGCGCTGCCGTGCGCAGCAAGGTGCATCCAGTTCGCGGTGGTCTCTAACTTCAGAGAGGCTCGATGCAAACTCGATCCGGTAAGGCACACTCGGGGCGTTCTTGAGAGAATGTGTGCAGAATATGCAGCTACTCTAAGAGTGGCAGGGCAGACGGACGCCCAAACCATGGAAATGGCTTTTCAGACGAGGGCGGCTGCCTGGCAAAACAGCGCGCGCGTATTCAAGCACGCGACAACGTCGATCAACCACGCAGCCGTGCCCACGCATCAACGTGGCTGCTCAGCGTCCGCGAGTCTGGACGTTGCCCCCGAGGCTGTCTCCAAGCTGCAGCTCGGGCACCGTCGCAGCGGCGTTCCGCTTTGCTTCGTTGACGACGCGCCTTCGCCGTCGCTCCACAGCGGGAAATTCCCGACGCACGCCAGTCGAGGTGTGCCGTGGGGTGGGTAAGAGGGATCACAGCCGTCGATGCAGCATAACGACAACAGCTACAAAACCACAAAGAATGCGCAGAATATATATCAGCCCAGGCACCTCTCTAGGGACACCGCCAATAGTCCACACACAACAGTCCGACGAATAAACAAATAGAGCTGCCGCCTGGCGCCCCCACGCCGCAGTTCCAGCCCACCCTCCTTCTGTCACCCTTTGTCCCATAATTCAGCCGCAGAGGCGAGCGTTTCCAAAGACGAACATCACTAATCGGCTGCTGAGCCTCGCTTCGTGTTCGCCAGACGCCACCGCATCAGAGTTGTTGTTGAAGCATCATGCGTTGCGATTTCAATGGGCCAATCGACAGACAGACTGACTGGGCAAAGGCCAACCTATCGGGCACGGTCCAGCCCAAAAAAAATGCGAACATAAGATAGAAACCATTCCCCACTCAACAGTGGGGGATCGATCGGCCCTTACTCAAATAAGAAACGAAGAAACAAAGATCGGTCGTGAATCGTGAGTCCATTCCATCAGTTTTCCTGCCTCATACTTTTCTCAAACCTACAAATTGAATTCTTCACTTTCTCTTCGGTGGGAATTCGATCTCGCAAGAGTCTTCGTCGCAGTTGGCGCCCTGTGGAGTCCCCCTGCGCTCCTCGAGAATGGTTGCCAGGTCTGGCCGGCCAGTGACCCGCAGGCGGTTGGCAGCCCAGAGCTCGTACACCGCGTTGGCCATGGGGCCAAAGGGGTAGTACTTGGTAAATTCGTACAGCCAGCCCAGGCCCACAGCCTCGTAGCAGCGGCGAAAGACCTCGACGTTGCTGACGACCGAGCCGTCCGGCAGGACGCCGTGGATGCGCCTCATGGCCTACACAAATAAGGACATGCCCACGTGAGGACTTCGACAGCATTTGTTGGGAGGTGCAAAGCTACCCCTTGTGCTTGCAAGGCGACAGACACAATTTTAAGAAAAGGAATGAAAGTACGGGACATGGAATGTGAGCGAACAGAAGCTGGACCAAGGTGAGCCGAACAAAAACAGCCCAAATGAATGATTTGGTGCTCAAATTTCAACCTGCATGTCAATGTGAGTTAGGGTTAAAGCCATCCCATATGATGTCAACCCTGCACTAATCTCATATTGAATGTCGAATCTGTGAGCGTTCAGACAGTTAAGCACGCAGCTGCACGAAAGTAGAGATGGAAATGTGGAAAAATGTGCTTGTTGAGTTGTGGCATGCATGGCATAGCAAAGGCAGAAGGGTATACGGACTTTTGTGCGCCCGTTGACACGTGAGCTGAGCTGTACATTGGGTGCAACTCAGGACAATGGTTGGTCCCATATGTTGTTCGCGGTCTCGATTTGTTGTCTGTCCGGTTCCAACAGCTGAAACTACCTTTGGTAGGGAACCAAGCACACCATCCAGAAACAAACTACTCGTATTTACCTGGTATTAGCAGGCACCCCCTATTAGTCTCCAACCCACTCTTTGGGGGTCGAAACCACGTTAGTATCCATGACTTAGTAGCCACCCCCAAACATGGACAGAAACGAGCGAAGGCGCGGATCGTGACAATGGAAGTCGGCGGCTGGCGCTGGACCTCGTTACCCAGTCTGGACCAAACCACGTTCCCTGCGATTGGCACATCGACGGGGGCGATCGGGTCGAGGTGGATGCTTTCGAGGGAGAATTTGGAAGGGGGCCCGCGAAAAGCCGCACGGTCGACTGGCCGCTGTTGGCGCTCTCAGCGCATGATCACAGGGCAGTGACCAATGCCGCGGGGCCCGATCAAAGAAGCGGTCGAGAAATCATAGCCGCCCTGGTTTCTGGATTGTGTTAACCTGCTCCCCGGCCATCCAGAACAGGTTCCGGCCTGGTGCCTGCCAAGGGCGCCCCAAGGCCCAGCGCCAGGAATGGGCAGGCGCTGGCGCTGGTCGGGACAGCTGCCATTAAAAGACCTCGCCTTGCCAAGTTGCCCGCAACACGCTGCGAAGGCCGGGCCCGTCCCCAATTCGCGCATCGCACTACCACCAGGCCACAAACCCAATGACATATTCCATCAGCCTTCCAAGCCGCCATCAGCCCAGGAAAACGCCGCGTGCCGAGTGTATCATCGTGATGTGGCGTCCCACCGAGTCGAGACCCATGTCAGTTCTCGTTCTTTGCAGTGCAGAGGCAAACACACCTCAAGCATTCCAGCGAACCCCTGTTGGCCCTAATGGCCAGTCGCTACCACTTGCCACCAACTGCCTGGTGCAGCCCAAGTCAAGACCGCCAGCTCCCGTGAAGAGGCTGACAACATCCCGTAATAGCATGGGCCATTTTTGCCCATTTCTGGGCATTTCCAGCCTATGTGTCAAAATATTTCTTTGTCTACTCTTTGGGATCAGGGGTCCAAACCGCGTTAGTATACATGGCCCACTATTAATATCCACCGCTCATTTGGGGGATCCAATACACGCCTACTAATACTGGGTAAATACGGTATGTACACAAGAAACAGACAGCTCAAAATGAACTTCTTGGTGAACCATGCATCGGTTCGCATGCTAATCTGTATTCCAACGCCTGAGCGATCTTCAAAGCCATTTGCTACTTTCGATTGAGCTTCTCCAACATACGGAAAGCTGTAATGGCAATCCTTGTGTCCATAGTGAGTCCGTGAACTGGTGTGGGGCAGTCGCAACGCCAATCTGGATTATCCACACTGCATGGGTTGATATGCATATGGCCCACTACCGTGTCACAGCAAGCACTCCAAAGTGAATGGACCAGCTGCACTATGCGAGATCTGCAGGAGCCACTATCCTAGGCATTGCAATGAGGGGGAGGGGGGAGGGGGGGCAACAGTGTATCATTTCTCATAATGGAAAACTCCCTAATTGGTGTCGGCGTTTTGGCATTGAGTACGTACTGTCTCAAAAGTGACACCCCCATTTTCCGCCGCGTCGTATGAAGGTGAACAGATGTCCACAAAGTCGATCTTGCCCTTCCCGTCATCCCTGCTCATCAACATGGCCACTTCCTTCATGCACAAGGGGCATTCGCTATCATAGAGCAGGCGAATTTGCCAAGTGGGTGCAGCATCTGCGACACAGCACTGAGACATCAATACTCCTGGCAGTACAGTCGAAGTAAGATACAAACTCTTTCACCATTTGAGCTTGTTGGCCATTGGACATTAACGAAATTGTTGGCAGCCAAAGCGCCTTTGCTCACTTTCCCTTTTAACAACCCTGCAGATTTACAGTGGGTTACCTACTGCAAAGAGATGTCTGTCCATACATCTGTCAATATAATATCTATTGCACTGCCTGATATCTACCGCTGTTATGCATATTGTACATTATACCATCACTTGTCTTTCTATTTGTCTGTGGAGTACTCCTTCCTTAGGGATTACACTTTGAGACTCTTTTCCACGCACTGGAAATAGAAGCAAAACCCCCAAGCACAACAAGAACAGCGCGTGACACAGGGTGCTAGATACAGGAAATATTTTCTCAGGGGGAGCATCATGCACCTTGTACACCTGCCAAATCAATGCAACATCGCCTCAAGGGAGGGAGGCGAAGGAGGAAGACAGTGCTGGTGGAGAAAGGGAGGGTTGAGGTGAAACGTGGGAAAGTTTGCACATATATGAATGCACAGCAATGCCACAACCTTCCAGGACACAAACTTTGCGCAATGGCCGACACAGTACTGACCATGTCTTGTGCAAGCTTGTCAGATGGATTCAAGATTGTTGTCACCTTGTGTGGAGATACCACAGGTGAGTTCTGCAGCATTCAGTAAACACTGCAATACAGGAATCAGCTGCGCTCACTACCCAGCTTCACCCAGTGGAATGGACATGTTGGGATTTGTGATATGCAGCTGGTGTCAAAGGACCACATTACATGACAGTAGTTGATGCCGCCACTCATCCAAGGTAGACATATTGTGATAACAGGTAACACACTGCCAAGGCTAACAGAGAAGTCTCCGATAAAGAATTCGATCCCCAACAGGGCTAACAAGGGTTGATGGCCAGGGTTCGCAAGTCCGATACGTTGCTCCACTTTATGTGCAGTCAAATACAGTGATGCACAACAAGACTCAGTGCAGCAAGCCCAGAAAGCCACTTTCATCCTCAACAAAAGGATGTTGGGAACACGGGTTGCAGGGATTGAATGGATATGTTTGTGCCCATGACATCAGTTGACACTTTGTCCATTCTACGCTTCAAACTTTGAGCATTCATGCAGTGACAACACCAAATGCTAACATCCACCAGTTTTTAAGGTGTTCAAAATGCATTCCAGAGCTTGAATACCCAGAGAGACAGGCTCCAGCCAGCACCTACCAAACACTTGTTAGCTTCAGGCAGCCTGTCTGCTTGCCATCATTCACTGTACATCACAATTGTCGAAGGGGGTGTGCCCATATTACCATTTAGATGACTAATCCGATCGGTGACTTTCACCACAGCATTCCAAAGGTCCATCGAATAGCCGGTACCTAAAATTATGCAACATGCAGTTGGGCAAAAACGCCAACAGCTTCCTTGGCAATGTTCGTTGACATTTGAACTCCACAGTGAAGATCGACCAACATGGCTCCACACTTGCCCAGGTCACCTCCCAAATCTACCCCGCACCTGCTGCTTCCATTTGTTTGGTCTGAGGCGCTGGCTCCACAGCTCCTGCGGCTGCCGAGGCAGTCAGGCGCGACACAGCAGAGGCCCCTCTACGCTGGCGGAGACCATGGTGCATCTCTATCTGCTGGTCCCTCAATACACTGAAGCGAGCCACACAGTCATGGCGGCGCAGCTGACAGGCGGACAGCACCTTGGTCACAGCAAAACTGCTGTCAACAACGTCTCTGCAAAGGTTATACCAAAACATCGGACAAGAAACTGCATGGCAAGGTAAAGCACAACAGATATATGCTGTGCAGGCTTTGGCAGTTGCATGTGTATCAGTGCTGTGCGAAAATGTGCGAGTACGTAGCACTGGTGCGCAAAGCTGACGGCATTAGAAGTTAGCACCAGGCAACAACACGCGCATTTGTCCTGTGCTAGAAAATCTTCAGTTTCTGCACAGTGCGAACCTCTTTCCTCGATGGGGACAAGCCCTGTCCCGATAAAGGGTGATAAAAATAGCATCCTGCAGAGAACTCCTAACAAATGAGAACCAAACAGACTTGCAAAGATGTCCTCTACACAAGAGAAGTTGCAGTCACTGTTTTCACACAAGAATCAGCCCAAACGATACAAAGCTTGCTGCAGCGCCTCCGGGGTTCAGCAGCTCCAGGAAGACACTAGGTGGCATCTTTGCAAGCACGAAAACCTCGCTGAGATCGTGGTCCGTTCGAACAGGCAGGTCCATTTTGATCGCCGTACAAAGACTGACGACGATTTCACGATCTGAACGCAGTAGGAACGCCATGGCCTGCTTGCCATATCTGCACTGCTACGACGGTTACGCTCAATAATTCTTTCAAACGGGGAGGTTGTTCTGCTTGACGAAGATGGCCAGACCTGATCTGTCTGACAGCACTTTGCCAAAATGTTGCAAGGCGCTGCCTTTGCTCTTTACGTCGCAGAATGCGCCCCAAACTCGCTACAGGCTCCATCGTCTCAGAGACAAGCAGAGCCGTGCGCTCTGGATCGACGTGTCCTTGGCCAGAGACAAGCTGTCTCTGCGCAGCAAGAAATGACAAGACACTGCATTCCCACGCCCCCGAGGCCCAACAGGCGAAGCCCAGATTGTCACGTCGCGAGAACCTGGCCCGCTGAGGCCTTCCCCGGCTGCGAAAGCCAACGGCCACGAAGCTCATCAGCTGCGGCGGCGCCTTCGTCACAAGGTGTGTCTGTGGAATGGGTACACAGGAAAACGAAGCTAGCCACACTTGTCCATCCTCTCGGCTCCTTTCCCCCGAGCGCCTTCAACACGCACTGCGTGGCCCGCGCAGCAAACAGGGCGCTGAACCTGCTGATCCCCGCGCCGGAATTCGATTCCACAGGCCGCAGGGGCCGTGTGCGGTCCTCGTGCGATACTCCTGCATCCCCCTCCGACCCGGGCAAGGCGTTGGAGGAGGGGGACGGGCAGCTGAAGGCTACCAAAGGCGCACAATACGGACCAGGTTAATGCAGTGTGACCCACGGCGGCGCCGCCCACACAAGTGGCTGCGAGACGCATTCGCTGGACGCCACGAAGTGGATCTGGTTCGTCTGGACAGCCCCGGGAAAACAGTCGCGAGCCGCCCACGGCGCTGGAGCTCCCGCGCCGCACGGCGCAGCAACATCGCGCCACGGCGAGCAGAGATTTACGCGAAACCCACCACACTTCTAGGACCTTTGGGATCCGATCGGCGCGGGAGGGCGCCCACACGCGCCTCCCCCGCGCCCACGCCTCCCGCGCCCACACCAGGCGCAAAGCACGGATCGAACAGAGCTACGCGCCCGGACAGCAGCGCAACGCTCCACAGCACCGCAGCTCCCCGCAATCCGATCAACAGCAGCAGCCTCCCTCCCCCCGCCCCCCCGCACCTACCCACCGCGGTGACGCCACACCCTCCAGAACCGTCCCCAGACGGCCAGCGCCCCGGGCCAATCACCGTCAGCAACGATTCAAATGCGGCAGTGCACACAGAGACAACTCAAGGGACGCGAATCCTCCTTAGAATCCATCAGCGCGGGGGCCGACCGCATGCCGCCGGGGGAAGGCAGGGCCAACGATCGCATCCCAGAGATTCAACGGCCGTCCTCTGACATCGGCACAGGTCGCCGTTGCGCGGACACGCGGTACCCACCTGCGGTCCCATAGCCGCCATCCGCACCGACGAGGGCATGCGCCCCACCGCTGAGCCCATCGCGAGCTGCCGCCTCCAAATGCGCGAAGGAGACGACCGTGGGGTGGCTGGGCGGTTGTGCGTTTGCCAGGCGGGGGCAACCGCTCTTGTACCAGGTATTTTGGACGGAAGCACCCAATCAATAGCGCACGTATCTTTGCCCTTACCTCACATACCGTGGCAATGATGTACAGCACTTGTGTGCATCATTTCTGCCTGACCGGTCTCCTGAGCCCACCACGTCATGTACCCCCATGACAATAATTACAAACCCATTCAATGTCACATTCCCGAGGTTCCCATCCGTCAAACTTGCCCATTCACTCTAGGCAACTCGAGGCCCCTCCGGGGCAGAAGATGTGCCCAAACCGCTCATGCAGGTCGCGGGCGGTGATGGTCATCCAATCGAAAAGCCGAAAATCCCACTCAGTGGGCAAACGGAAAATATCTATGTAGGACCACAACGCGTCCGGCTTCCACCCACCCCAATCCTGGATGCGCCGCTCCGCGACCTCCAAGGTGAAGCAGCTGGACGCGCCCCCACCGCGCAGGCCATGATGCGTGAAGGGCTCATGTGCAAGGTCCGGAAAGTGCGCGAGCAGGGATGTAAACCAAGAGGCCACCATCTTGGACGAAGGGGTGCCATCGCCGGGAAGGCGGTAGAAATGGCGCGGCTGTTGGTCCGTTTGCGCCCAGGCTTGATCTCGAAAATGCGTCCAGCAGCGCAAAAGGGCGACGACTTCGGGAGCGCCGCGGGAAGGCCACGAGCGATAGCGCGACCGGGGCTCCTGTTACGCGCACCGGCCTGATGTGGGGGACGCCCTACTAATGGTCCTTGGTGTGGGGGACGCCCTGCCCAAGATCGTATTGTATTCCTTGTCCCACGGTAACCATTATACTTATATGGATATGGGAGTAGGAGGGGTGGTCCCGCCTAGGTGCCCTGTAAGGACCTAGGTGCCCGGCGAGGTGGGTCCGCGGCTCAAAGAGGGCAGGAACCCCACACCCACAGGCTTTTCGTATCATTTGGTTTCAGAGCCACCTGAGGGTGGCGACCACGCTTCCGCCTGGGCGGACGCGCAAACTCGGAGCGACGGGTTCCCCCCCGGTCTCCTCAATGGAGGCCGAGGAATCGGACACGTCTGCCCGTAAGGGTACCCCCGATGCGTCGGGAGAGATGGGAACACCCCGGGAGGGGACACCGACCTCGGTTGGTGATATTAAAGCCCGGGATGGGCAAGGAGGAGAACAAGTCCGGGAGGACAAGGCTGGACCCTCCACAGCCACTTCGGCACCCGTAAAGGAAGATGAACCGATGAGCAAAGCGGGTGCCCCACCAACGGCGGAGAAGAAACAAGAGTAAGATCAGGGGACCATGGCGGCGTTGCTGCAGACCCCTGGTATCATGGAGCTCTTGGAGCAAGTGGCGGACGCTGCGGCCAAGAAGGCGAGGGAGAAGCGGGATGAAGATACCGCTGAGAGAATCGCCTCGCTGGAGATCGCCGTCAACAAGGCCAAGAAAGAAGCTCGAGAAAACGAGGTGGCCATGAAGAAGGCGAAGCAGCAGAGCCGCAAGGCAGAAGAGGCCAAAACCTCTGCCGAAGACCAAGTCAAGGCGTTAAGCAACCGTCTCTTGAAGCAGAAGCAGCGGGCACAAGAGGCAGAGGAGAAAAGCACCCCACAAGTGGTGCAGGCTGTGAGGGCCCCCAGTCCGTCGGAGCTGCCTATGCCAACCATTCCAGAAGCCGAGGGCGACTGGAAGGTTGCCAGCAAACAGCGGCCTAAGCGGAAGAGCCCATCGCCAGGTGAGCGACCGATGGGAAGTCGGACATCTCCATACAAAGGCCGGGAGGCCAAAGCCTCAGGGCGAATTGAGAAAGTAAAAGGCCGGAAGGTCAAGATCCCAGAGCTGCGGCTCAAATCCCAGGTGCATGTTAGAACACCTAGTGGATCGGACGGGACGGGAGATGAGTCGCTCACAGAAAGCGCTCAAGCAGTATGCGGAAAAAGTCCGCCAAGGCTGGAAGGTCATAACTGGAGTCCCCGGAGGCCTGCGTTGCCGGAATGGGGACCTGGAGAAAGCTCAAGGGTGTTGGAATTTATTCCAGACACTGGAGATCCTTATAGCCGGCAACCACCGTGCCATGCAATGTGGACAAAATTCCACAGTGATCTCATTAATGAGCTTGACGAAGGATGGCAGATGGCCGCCGAACAGTTTGGGGAACGGTTAACCACCGCCAGACTGGTGAGGATCCAAAGGTGGTATGGTCCTGGTATGGCAGATCAGATTGCCAAGGAGGACCCGAACTGGCCAGAAAAAATGGCCTTTGCGCTCAGACATATCCCAGAACCATGGGACTTGAGCGAAGGGAGTCCAGAGAGAACAGACCCCAATGATCCTCATGAACGGTGGGAGGAGATCTCTGAATTGTCGTTCTCATCTTGTGCATCTCCATTACCGGGGGATATGTCCACCCGAGCACAAGTACATAGGATGGAGAAAGAGAGACGACGAATTCGTAATAGAGATCGGTTTGCTCGTGCCAAGAAGTTGGACGAGCAAAAGGCCAGAAAGGCTAATCAGCGAAGAGAGCTGAAAGCGCTGAGGCGTGAACGGGATCGCCAGTTGAATCCCAACAAGTATGAGCATAAACGTGCTCATAAACGCCAACGTAAGGCTGAGATCAAGCGGTTTTTCTCCGCAGGAGGCAGCCAAAAGGCGCAACGCCTAGAGGCTAAACCGCCGGCCGACGAGCTGGACCCAGCCGAGCAGGCCAAGGCTTTTGCCCGAATTGCCATGAAGGAGGGGACCTCCACACGCTGGGCAGATCAGTGCGACAGTAGCGGCAGCGATAGCGGTGTACACCGCCCTGCCCGCTTTGTCCCCACCCAACCGGAACAGGCATCGCCATCGGTTGTGGTGACCAGCGGTCCCAAGGCGGAGAAAGCGCCAAGGAAGGAGTCCCAGCCTGAAAAGGCAAAGGCGAAGGATTCGCCTGCAGAGGAGAAAGACCCGCCTATGAAGGCGAGAGATCAGCCTGAAAAGGCT